GGCTCGACCCCGGCCGACGGGTAAACGTGGCCAGGTGTCGGCCTGTCCGAGCGTCTGTGCAGTGGGTCACCCGCTGACTCGCAGGAGTGAACTGGTGAACCCCCGCATCCTGTAGGTCAGCACCACTCACCAAGTTCGTAGAGAACGAGGGAAGGTAAAGACCAGACAGGGTGCCAGAGGGGGCCGCCGGACACGGGAGGACAGTGGAGAAGTGAGCAAGGACAGGACCCCCAGAGGGGTCTGCCAGAGAGACTGCAACTGGCCGGCTAAGCGGCGTGAGTGTGGTGCGGTCTCGAAAGAAGGAGCGAGAAGCCCCAGAGTCAAGGGTGAAGGTGTGGGAGGCCGAAGCCGACGCAGAACCTAAGAGAGCAGACTCACCAGCACCTGAGGGAGCAGACGCACCTAGAGCAGCAGCCTCGCTAGCACCTAGAGCAGCAGCCTCACCAGTACCTAGAGCAGCAGTCTCAATGCCCGGGTCGGGCGGAAAACACCGGTAACAGTCACCCTCATCACTAATAGTCACAGTATACATGGCAGCAAGAATAGCATCAAAGTCAAGGTCAAAGACAGCCACACCCGCCCTAGACAGCTCACCCCAGCGGGGGATCTCAGTGGCCTCAGGGAACTGGTGACGCCAAGCGTCCGTCAGGCGGCCAAAGCAGCGCTGGGTGGAGTGCGCACCCCCGCACTGCTCACCCGCGCGGTCGCCGGTGCGGAGGACGTAGGTGCACGGACCAGTACCCCCACCCCTCTGGCGTGCAGTGTACCACTCACGGAGCTGCTGAGGGGAGGGGATGTCACGAGTGCGCTGCTGCTGCTGCTGCTGCTGCTGGCGCTGACCACCACCGGAGCCGACCCTCTGCGCAGCGCCACCCCGACCAGCTCCACCTCCTCCGCCGCCTCCTCCTCCACCGCCGCCACCTCCGCTCCCTCCGCCACTGCCGCTGCCGCCTCCGCCTCCACTGCCGCCACCGACACCTCCACCCCCGCCACCACCCCCACCGCCACCCCCACCTCCTCCACCGCCTCCACCGCCGCCTCCACCGCCCCCGCTAGCTCCTCCAGCGCCCCTGCCCCCCTTGCCCTTGCCAGGGCGGCGTCTTCCGCTAGGGGTAGACGCCGCACCGACCGACTCAAGCCCAACGAGGTCGGCCACAGCAGCAGAGGCAACAGAGGGCAAAAGGGGGGAGGGGGAACACCCCTCAAAGATGGGGGTGCGAGGGTCACCACGAGAGGCTCCTACAGCCACTATGCTCTTCTCTGCTGCTAGGAGGGACTTCTCGAGGAGGTCAACGGTGAGAGTGGTGGGGCAAACTGAGAGGAAGTGGTCCCTGACTACGCGAAGGGAGTCAGGGAGCCGGGTGACTATGTAGTAGAGGGTGATGTACATGGGGGGGGGGGTTCTTGGCGCAGAACTCAGCAGGAAGCGCAGCGCGGTAGCGAGTGTCACTAGTGCGTAGGTGCGTAATGAGGTCAGCGACTGTGTGAAAGGCAGCAAGGTCAGGGAAGAGGTACGGTAGCATGAGGCGACTCAGTGCAGCAATGGCAGGGGAGGAGTAGCGTGCAACTACAGCGTCGTACAAGGTCTGAGCACTCTTGTACTGGCTAAAGTGCGCACGCTCAGAGGTAGGCAGGTGGCGACGCACAGCAAGACGTGCAGCAGCATCGCGCGTGGCCCACTGGGAGCGAACAGTTGCGTCAGCATCAGTGGCGGGGGCAGGGGAGGCACCAGAAGTGAGGTCAAAGAGGGAGAGGCCGTCTGCCCTATCGCACTGTAAGAAAAGCTGCAGGTCATCTATCCAGACGTCAAAGTCAATGGCCCGACCCTCAGCGTCAAAAGCGAGGACACTAGGGGTAGCCATGACAGCAGTAGACTAGCAGCGCAAACAGTGGGGTGAGGGCAGTGCTGTGAGAGAGGCGCTGCTCTTACCGGACAGGGCGGCTCGGGCGGCTCGGCTGCAGGGCGGCTCGGCGACTCGGCTGCTGGGCGGCTCGGCTGCTGGGCGGCTCGGCGGCTCGGCTGCTGGGCGGCTCAGCGGCTCGGCTGCTGGGCGGCTCGGCGGCTCTGCTGCTGGGCGGCTCGGCTGCTGGGCGGCTCGGCGGCTCGGCTGCTGGGCGGCTCGGTGGCTCAGCTGCTGGGCGGCTAGGCTGCTGGGCGGCTCGGCGGGGCCGCTGAGAGGGCGGCGTCCGGGGCCGTTGGGAGGAGGCGGCGGGGCCGCTGAGGGGAGGCGGCGGGGCCGCTGAGAGGAGGCGGCGGGGCCGGATAGGTAGGTGGCGGGGCCGCGTCAGGGGCCGCGTCAGGGGCCGCGTCAGGGGCCGCGGCAGGGGCCGCGTCAGGGGCCGCGACAGGGCCGCGTCAGGGCGCCGCGTCAGGGGCCGCGTCAGGGCGCCGCCAGGGGCCGCGGCAGGGCCGCGTCAGGGCCGCGCAAGGGGCCGCGGCAGGGGCCGCGTCAGGGGCCGCGTCAGGGCCGCGTCAGGGCCGCGGCAGAGCCGCGTCAGGGGCCGCTTCAGGGCCGCGGCAGGGGCCGCAGCAGGCCGCGTCAGGGCCGCGTCAGGGGCCGCGGCAGGGCCGCGTCAGGGCCGCGGCAGGGGCCGCGTCAGGGCGCCGCGTCAGGGGCCGCGTCAGGGCGCCGCCAGGGGCCGCGGCAGGGCCGCGTCAGGGCCGCGTCAGGGCCGCGGCAGAGCCGCGTCAGGGCCGCGTCAGGGGCCGCTTCAGGGCCGCGGCAGGGGCCGCGTCAGGGCGCCGCCAGGGGCCGCGTCAGGCCGCGTCAGGGCCGCGTCAGGGCGCCACCAGGGGGCGCGTCAGGGGCCGCGATAGGGCGCCGGCAGGGGCCTCGTCAGGGCGCCGCCAGGGGCCGCATAGGGGGCGCGTGGGAGGCGGCGTAGGGGCCGCGTAGGGGCAGCGTAGGGGCCGCTAAAAAAAAAAAAAAAAAAAATTAGGGCAGGGCGCAATGTGCGTGGGCAGCTAAAAAAAAAAAATCTTATGGTGGGCCCTTAGGAAGGAACGGTCCCATGTAGGAACCCGCTCTATACCATGTGAATCAAGAAAACAGGAATGAAATGACTAAGTGAAAGTTGGGTACAAAAGGCAAACCCTAGGAAACTGTACCCCATATGTGCTACTCCACTATAGCCTACAGTAGCTATGTCAAATAACTCTGACACAAATGTGCAATCCTCCCCTTCAACATCCACCCATCCGACCTCAGGCATGCAGGGCAAATCCCCATCCGCAAACCACATGAGGCGGAAAGAGTCCTAGGCATATACGTAGAACAGGAGTAACCAGGCAACACCACCTGGGGCCTCATCAGGGGAAGGGTTAACTCCACCTCTGAACTCCTTTCTCGGTTACACGCCACCACCACATGCAGACGGTTACTCACCGCGGAACGGCTTTCTTCCCTTTATTCCTACGCCGGCAGGTTCCAGCCCCCCCCTAAACCAACCGTTAAAAACTTGGATCACGTGGTCGGGACTTTGCTTCCTCCAAATACAAGGAGAATAGTCGTCCAACACGTCTCATTCCGAAACAGTTCCTCTACAACAAACAGAAACACGAAGGCGTCGGGGCTACCGCACCATCTACCCAACTAAAAGCCCTTAATATCCAGCGAGCAACGCGACGCTTTCTACCCTCCCCATATGAGGACATCGCCCGGGCTTGCTCCACCCTACCCTTCGGTCTCCATTGCTATCTAGCACACCCTGACATCTTGAAACATCTCCCCAGCTCCACCCCAGCCAGAGTGCTTCTAGTGAGTTACCACATTATTATGTCTGATATGCATTGCACATCATACCAGTAACACTTCGAATCTTAGTAGCTTAGCTCAGTGCCGTCTACTGCTATCTTCATGTCATAATAAGTTGGATATTCCATGCAGGCGTTTTGTTTTTTCTAGAAAACATATACGTACATTTGATTTCAATACGGTATTAATGGAACTCATGAAGTTGTGTTCTCAAGGTAGAGAAGAGAGTGCTCTCCAGGGGCTAACAAAAGTCAAACAGTACGATACGAAATAAATTCTGAGCTGTAGTGCTGCTACATTTGTAACTATATTTTGCTGAAACCAAGGGCTTCATTTTGTAACTACAACTTCTGTTCATACACCCGGTCAATATTGGAGGGTGCTGCATTTGGAGAAATACTGTATGTATGGTTTATAGTTTTGCTCCACTCTCAATGGCAGTGTTATTCACATGGCATGGTTGCTGCAGTGGAGAAAAGAGAGTGTGCGCCATACAGGCGGTGCCACGGCCGGCGCCTGACTCCAGCAACAGCATGGAGCCACCGGCTTGCTGCAGAAGCTCGTGAGGCGCACGACATGGCCCACAGCGCGGACAAAGGAGCAATGGAAGAGGAGGGATACTGCACGAGGATGGAGAGATGGAAAGCACCCAAGGAACACCACTTATTGGTGGTGGTAGACATTGCGTGGCTGCAGATTCGGAGTTGTTAGCAGTTTGTTAAGAAAATGAAACAGGCTTGTAAAAACCTGTGTTTGTTTGTAGAAAAAACTTCTTGTGAAAAAATCCGTGGTAACTAGTTTCGGCGTAGAAGCCTTCGTCAGACCACAAGAAAGCAAATGAGACCTCGAGGCTTATATAATGCCCTCGAGGGGATCCCGCTCGCTATTGAGCTCGCAGGGAAACCCAAGTCTCAGCAAAAAATCTACAGTAACAGAATTACACTACGCTAGCACTTACGAGCAGAAACTAAAAAGCTTCCAACCCTTTTTGGCAATTTCCATGCCAGAATAGCTCGCCTCCCTGTAAACACATCGCGTGACATTGTATCCAGGTGTGTTTTGAGTCGACTCAAAACACACAAAGCACGGGTGATGGAGAGAGAGAGACTGACAGAATCTACATGGCCCCACCCCATGTGCTAGTGCCCACGAACGAGTGAGGCACCGGCTTGGTCTCCTTCCATCCACCTCCCTCTACACTCCCATCGTTGTGGTCACCACGAGAGCATTAGGAGGGCAAGGGCGTCAGGAGGGCACAGGGCGAGCAGCAGGCGAGGTGGCAATGCTGCTGGTGCTGGATCCGCCCTCCTCACTGCCCTCCGACATGATCGTTGCCACCGATGGGTTGCGCGACGCCCCCCCCACCCGCGCCCGCCCTGCCGTGCCCCCTCCTCCCACCCCTCCACCTGCACCGATGGGTGGCGGGCGGCCGTGGTGATGCTGCAGGATGGAGGAGGTGGCAGCAGGGGACGCCTGCCCCTGCCCACCTGCCACTCCTGCGCTGCCACTGCCCCCAGCTCTGCTGTCCGCACTCCCCTTGCCTGCCCCATCCCCACCTCCAGCACCGGCACCCTCTGTACCTTCGATGCCTCCTGCAGCAGCGGCACCCGTTGCAGCAGCAGTGGGGGGGATGTCGAGGGGAGGAGGGGGGAGGGCGTGAAGGGGCATGTTGCGAGGAGGGGAGAGGGGGGTGAGGGAGGAGTAGTAGGGATGGGAGGGGCCGATGGGGCCCGACTTGTGCAGCCGCACGGCACTCACCCCACCACCACTGCCACGCCCTGCTGCTGCTGCTCCACTCGCCCCACCACTGCTCCCTGCTGTTCCCGGAACCGCTATTTGCCTAGCAGCAGCAGCAGCAGCAGTGGTGGAGGCGGCGGGGCGGGCATCGGCCATGAGGCCGAAGGTGGAGTAGAGCGACCCGCGCGTGATGGGGCCACTCACTGCGCGGCTGCCCGCCCCCACCGGGGCGACATGGGTCGCATGCGAGGGGGCGAGGTGGAACGGAGCAGGTGCAGCGGCGGAGGGACGGGGGGACACAAGCGCATGCACGGTGCTGCCAGGAGTCTTCAGAGACGAGGTCTGTTGCACGCGCAGGGCGGCAGGCACCGCAGATGGGGCTCTGCCTGCTGCTCCTGCTGCTGCTGCTGCTGATGGTGCTGGTGGTGCTGATGGTGCTGGCGCTGGCGGGGAGGGCAACGAGGGGTTGGGTGCAGAGGGCGTGGAGCTTCCAGCAGCAGAAGGCGCAGTGGGCAGAGCGGTGGCTGTGGCGAGCATGGGTCGGGGTGAGAGGGCTGCTGTGCCGTAGGGGTAGGAGCCGCGCAGAATGGGGCCCGACATGCTCACTCGCGCCCTTGGCGCATTGCTGCCCACGCCCCCACCACCACCCCCTGCTCCCCGTCCCCTACCGGCTGCGGCTGCTGCTGCTGCTGCTGATCCACCAGTGCCACCGCTTGCTGCACCTTGCCCAGCCCCTGCCCCCATGCCAGCACCCACAGCAGCCCCCTGCGCTGTGCCTGGCATCAAAGGGCCGCCAGGCGTAGGCTTGGCGCCGCCTGGGGTGGGCTTAGACCCGGCAGCAGCAGCGGTGGCAGGGCCAGCAGGTGGCGGTGGTGCAGGTGCAGGCGGTGTGGGTGGGGCGGCAGAGACTATGCGCCAAGGCCCCTGCAAGGACTCCGGGCGGGGGAGAGGGCCCCACATCTGCGCTGCACACGGCTCCATGTCAGGCGCTCTGCCCCGCCCCGCCGTGCCTGCACCCGCTCCCCTCGGTACTGCCGCCCCTCTGCTGCCTGCTGCCCCCATGGCCCCCCCTGTGGCGGCTGCAGCAACAAGCGGCCCTCCCAGAGGTGCAGCAGAGGCAGCGAGAGCGCCCAGGTAGGCGGCGGCAGAGATGGGACCCGACTTGGACGCCCCCAGCAATGGCCGCGCTGCTCCCCCCGCCCCCGTGCTGCTGCTGCTGCGATGCCGGCCCTGTGACGGCGGTGGTGGTGGTGGTGCTGTGGGCGAGTCTCCATGGACTTGTGGCTGCTGCAGCACGCCTCCTGATTGCATGCCTGCTCCCTCGCCCACACTGCGAGGCATGCTCCTTGTGCCGCCACTCACCGCGTTGCCTCGCCCAACCCCCCCTGGGCCAGGGGCATCTGCCCTGACAGAGGTGGGGGCGGGCGGCATGACAGGGGAGGGCGCAGGTGCCGTGGAGGTGGAGGGCGGGATGGGTGGCGGTGCATGCGCGGGTGCAGCAGGAGGCGTGGCAGGCGCATGTGGTGCAGAGGCAGCAGAGGGGGCGGGGGCAGCAGGAGCGGTGGCAGCGATGTGTGCGGGTGTGGAGGGGTGTGCGTGCTGGGGGGAGGGGGGAGAGGCGAGGCCTTGAGCTGGGGCGTGCTGCAAGAGGGGGGAGAGGCATAAAGAGGGAGCGGGGGAAGAGAACAAGGGGGAATGAATGGAGAGAATGAATGTAGGGAATAGAAAATGGAGTGAGGGACAGAAATAGTGGAAAGTGGGGCGAGTGCAACAAGGGAGCTGGTGGAACACGGATACACAGCAGAGCAGCTCCGACATGCACGCACAGGTGATGCGGGTGGCACGCTCAAGGCATCGAGGCAGATCTGCCTCGCGCCCACTGCACTGCCTGCCCCCCCCTCGTCGACCCACTCGTCCACGTCCCCCTGTGCGACGGGCGCCAGCAGCGGTGTGTGCACGAGGCCCAGGTCGTCCAGCACGTGCAGCATGTGCGGCTGCACTCGCTGCAGCTCCCCTGCACTGCCCCGCACCCACCGCACCTGCGGGATGGCAGGGCAAAAAGGAGGAGAAGCGGAGGGATCGTGTTGTGCAAGAAGAGGAGATCGTGGGTGCAGGGGCGGGGCAACACACCGTGAAAGCATCGCGTCTGCCTGATTGCTTCACACTGAAGCACCGAGCACCTATACAGTCCTAAACGCGCGGCACAGGTGGCCCACCTTGGCGGCACAGGTGGCCCACCTTGGCGGCACAGGTGGCCCACCTTGGCGGCGTGGTGTTTGACGGCGAGGGTGAGCAGCAGGCGCGGCTGGCGCTGCTGCAGCGCCAGGATGCGGCACCCCAGCGTCATCGCCACCTCGTCAAACTCCTCCCGCGCCGCCGCCTCCTCCTCCTCCGGCCCCCCCGCCCCCTCTGCCTCCCCCCCTGCGCCCCCCCCTGCGCCCATGGCGGCCGCCTCTCTGCGCCTTGCCTTGGCCGCCACTGCCGCTGCCGCATGCGCCTTCCTGCTCGCCCACACGTTGGGGGCGCAGGGAAGAGGTGGGGTGGGAACAGGGGACAGCAACAGCCAAGCCGTCGGTCCGAGCGAGAGGCACATGGGGCGAGGCACATGGGGCGAGGCACATGGGGCCAAGCACATGGGGCGAGGCACATGGGGCGAACACAGTGGAGAGAAACGAAATGCGCAGGCCAGTCCCAACTCAGCTTTGCAGATTTGAACTCCCTTTTAGTTCCAATCACTTCCAACGATCCTATCCAGCCATTTCGTCTGTGTGCGTCTGTGGCACTCCCTTCGCACACTGAGTGCATCAAGCGTGACACGGCACAGCAGCTGCACTGGCATGGCATCACGCCATCGCGCGCCCCCAGTTTACACCCGCATTACTCACAGCCCTGTTCCGTGTGTTGTGTGATACAAACCCAGCAACCAAGGACCGGGCTGCAACGACACTCACCTCTTCTGCTCGTAGAGCTCCTTCGTTTCCTGGTGGACGGAGGAGGGCAGAGGGCGGAGGAGAGAAGAAGAGGAATCAGAGTGTGAGATAGACAAAGGGCAGACGGGACGGCAGGTGAAGATGAGAGGTAGGATGAGAGGAGAAAGCTCGTCTGCCCGATTGATAAAAAGGTCCAGTTGTTTTGGGAATCGGAGACGGGAGGGAGAGAACAGGGGTTCGATCTACTAACCCTTGGCTTCATTTTATTAATTTCCTCGTTGTGGCAAGTTTGTGTTCGCTAGCCCACTCATGCTTCCTCTTTGGTCCAACAAGTTTCCACAACCTTTAAGTTCGACTTTTGTGTTTGTCAAATAAGGTAGGAACTATTAATCACTTCTACGTCTTCGAAAAGCTTACACCACATGACAAATGTCATGGCCGCAACACCTGCCAAGGCCACATCAATCTCACAGGATACCTATTGCTCAATCCTGCTGCATCTCACCACCACGTGCTGCATCTCACCACCACGTGCTGCATCTCACCACCACGTGCTGCATCTCACCACCACATGCTGCATCTCACCACCACGTGCTGCATCTCACCACCACGTGCTGCATCTCACCACCACGTGCTGCATCTCACCACCACGTGCTGCATCTCACCACCACGTGCAGCATCTCACCACCACGTGCTGCATCTCACCACCACGTGCTGCATCTCACCACCACGTGCTGCATCTCACCACCACGTGCTGCATCTCACCACCACGTGCTGCATCTCACCACCACGTGCTGCATCTCACCACCACGTGCTGCATCTCACCACCACGTGCTGCATCTCACCACCACGTGCTACATCTCACCACCACGTGCTGCATCTCACCACCACGTGCTGCATCTCACCACCACGTGCTGCATCTCACCACCACGTGCTGCATCTCACCACCACGTGCTGCATCTCACCACCACGTGCTGCATCTCACCACCACGTGCTGCATCTCACCACCACGTGCTGCATCTCACCACCACGTGCTGCATCTCACCGCCACGTGCTGCATCTCACCACCACGTGCTGCATCTCACCACCACGTGCTGCATCTCACCACCATGTGCAGCATCTCACCACCACGTGCTGCATCTCACCACCACGTGCTGCATCTCCCCCAGCAGCGCCTCTGCCGGCTCCGCCAGTGTCTGCTGCAAGTGCAGGCTCTGGGGGCATGTGGGAGCAGAGAGGGCAGCGGGTAGGAGGTGCCGACAGACGGAAGAGGGGTGACCAGTGAGATGCGAGTGGCTAGAGGGGAAGCAAAGCAGCTCACATGGAATTAGAGCAGCTCACATGGAAGTAGAGCAGCTCACATGGAAGTAGAGCAGCTCACATGGAAGTAGAGCAGCTCACATGGAAGTAGAGCAGCTCACATGGAAGTAGAGCAGCTCACATAGAAGTAGAGCAGCTCACATGGAAGTAGAGCAGCTCACATGGAAGTAGAGCAGCTCACATGGAAGTAGAGCAGCTCACATGGAAGCAGAGCAGCTCACAAAGTTTTGAAAATATACTGAAGCTCACGTAGAAGTAGAGCAGCTCGGCCAGGCGGCCATCCACAGCAGCGGCGGCCACGAGGGTGTCCCCGGCGCCGCCCTCCTCCACGCCGCCAAACGCCTCCGCCACCACCGCCGCCAGCTGGTGCAGCGCCTCCGCACACTCTGATGCGCGCAGGGGGGGAGAGGGGTGGAGAGAGACGGGTTCGGTTCGGATGAGAGGTATGGTGGTGGGGAGAGCAGCGGCGGCATGAGAAATGGGTGGCAATGGAGCGAGTACGATGGCAGCATGCATGTGCCGTGGGGGAGGCGTAGAGGGAGGGACAAGAGCATGCGGTGCGGCTGGGCTTGGACGGACAGACAGAAGCGGCAACAGTTGGGAGTCCAAGAAATGATTGAGTACTAGTTGAAGTGCGCAGGCTTGGAAGCCACCCAAGAGCGCACCTGCTGCTCTCTCCTGTGCGTCCGCCACGGCTGCCAGCAGGCGCTCGTATTTGTCCCTCATCTCCCCCACCTCCTGCCATCCATGGCGCATGGGGCATGGGGCACAGAGCATGGTGCATGGGGCATGCAGCACGGGGCATGTGGCACGGGGCATGGGCATGGGGATGGCACGGGGTGTGGCATGGAAGATGGGATGGGGGATGGGATGGGCCATGGCATGGGTCATGGCACGGGGCACTTGACACAGGGGACGGGGAATAAGGCATGGGGTATGGTATGGAGCATTGGGGATGGGGAGTGGTGCATGGGCGCATAAGTGAATGCTTGGGTGCATGTCATGCCCCACGCACCTGCAAGCCCCACACAGCGCGCACCTGCAAGCCCCATACAGCGCACAGCTGCAAGCCCCACACAGCGCGCACCTGCAAGCCCCACACAGCGCGCACCTGCAAGCCCCACACAGCGCGCACCTGCAAGCCCCACACAGCGCGCACCTGCAAGCCCCACACAGCGCACACCTGCAAGCCCCACACAGCGCGCACCTGCAAGCCCCACACACCTGCAAGCCCTGTTGGAATTCATCCTCGATAGAGTCCGTCTGCGTCACTGCCATGCCTCTCATCCCCTCCGCCGCGCCGCTGCTCCTCGCCCTACTCGCTCCGCTCGCCTGCTGCGCGCCTGGCGGCGTCCCTGAAGCCCTTTCCGTTGCGCGCGCATCGCCCGCTTTGCCCTTCGCCGCCAGGCCCGTCAGCCGCTTCCACTGCTTCATGCCGCCGCCGCCGCCACAGTGCTTTAGCGCAGCGACGCACGGTTGCGGCGAAAAGGCCTACGCGCTACGGGGCCTAACCGCGCCCGTCCGCTCTCGTCGATTAGCGGCGCGCCTAGACGAGCTGTGCGCGCGACATTACTCTCCGCTGCCGATGGCTATCCGGGAAGTTGAGGGCGGCCTCGGAGGGACCGGCAGCTGCATCTTGAAAACCTAAGGTAACTGTTCTTCGTTAATGACGTCGCAGCAAGTGCGTTTCGCATTCGGATAAATCGTTCGTGAAGAAAAGCGCGCGGCGTCGCAGAGCGCAGAGGTGTGCCGTGCAGCGGCGGGGCGGCGGGCGCGCTGCCAGGCGGCCTCAGCGCGGGTGACGCGGCCAAAGCTACAACCCCGACGCGCCCATCCCTTGGCGCCCCACGCGAGAACACTGCTTGACGATGCGCGTTCGACCCGACGACGGGCACTGCGGCCTACGACATGCGCGGGAGGAGGTAAGCACGTGCGACTTGGGGACAGCCAGGCGTGCGGACTGACACCGTTGCTGTCGGGAGCTCCGACTGTGCGACGCTCTCTGCTTTGCGCGTTGTGGCGGAACCACCTAAAGCAGGAGAAACCAGACGACGGTCAGGCCGCTGGAAGACACAAACAGAACGCGATGTAGAGAGTTAGGAGGCGAAACATCGATTAGTGGTCGACGGAAAGACGGCACTTTTGTCTGGATAGCAGATCAACCATTCCCTTCAATCTTATGCATTGCTGAATGGTCGGTGGTTTTCTCATTCCACCTCACCTACGCTCACATGGTGGTGTGAAGTCGGATATGGTGTAGTGAAGTTGGATATGGTGTAGTGACGAAAGCCCAACTTTCTTGTAGCGCGTCAACTTCTATATAAAATCACCCACTTTCAAGTGTACTGATTGTAATGAAAATTCAATCGCCTTACACACCTGACTTCATGTTATGGAGTGGGGGGGGGGAGTACAGGTTAGTATGGTCACGGTGTGTTGCAATTGCCGGTGCACCGCATCGGCTCGGGACGTTTGGAAGGCTCCAGGCAGGCGGGAGACCAAACAAGGGCACTGCTTCGGGAAAGAAAAGTTTCAAGTTAATGATTAGAAGGGTTGTTTACCAAGTTTATATTAGGACATACCTTTTCTCTGCGCATTTTCTGTAAAAAAATAACGGCCACTTGCGTTCCTGGAGCCTTCCTAAACCCGTGCCACGAGCCGAGCCGATGCAGTGCACCGCGAAGTGCAACACGCCGGAAATCTCCAAACGCCTCCACCCAGCAATATTGCTGCCCGAGGCAAAAAAATATAATCTCTCAAAGGAAAAGCAGCCTGTTGAGATATGGTAACGCCGAATATATCTCAGCGGACAAGCGAGTCTGTCCGGGGGAGCACTCTGCCCGCGGGCAAAAAAAAAAACCCCAGAAGGGCATGCATCCGGTCAGGGAAGCATCAACCATAAACACAGGGAGGCATGGATTTAGGGTTGATGCCTCCCTAGGATGGCATGCCATCTGATAGGGTTTTAGTTTTTTTCTGCCCGGGGCAGCATGTTGTCAAGTCGTCAGAGGGTCGTCAGGCTTGACGACCCGTTTCCGCTGGGATATTCGGGAGGGTTTTTCTCAGCACATGGGATAAACAGTCTTTCTTAGAAACTATAGAGGAAAGGATGATGCATTAGGTCAAGGTTGGGGTACAAAATTAGAGTGTCGAGATGATTTGTGTACCCCCCAAGGCTAGCCCCAATATAGCCTAGATAAATGACAAGCATATGTTTTGACACACCCCCATAGGCGAAATGGGGGATAGCCAGAGCAAGCAATGGTCACAAGACCAGTCAAGAGAAGAAACAAAACACAGCTCAGGGTGGATCACAACGTCACCACACATACTGAGCACAAGCAAACGCCACAAGGCCAGTCCACATGCAGAGGTATATAAGCAACAAGAACAGTACAGTGATCTCTACCTAGCAAGAGCAAGCATGCAGGTATATATATATATATAGATCACAGTACAAACAGAGACTACAGCAAGTGTGGAAACGTAGGCACAAGGCCCAACAAAGTACAAAAGCGCTGATGGTCACCAGATGGAAGTGCCTTGGTGAATATATCAGCAGTGTTGGCCCGAGTGGCCACGTGAGCAAGGCGAAGCTGACCCCGCTGCTGCAACTCTTGAGCCAGGAAATAACGCAGAGCGATGTGCTTCGTTCTGTGCTCCAGTCTGTGCTCCTGACACAAGGCAATGGTGGCCTTGTTGTCTACGTACAGAACTGGAGGAGAACGAGGCCGCTCTCCCAGGTCGGTCAGCAGGTAGGTGAGCCAGCGTAACTCCTGTGCAGCCATGGCTGTGGCGTAGACCTCAGCCTCACAACTGGAGCTGAGAACAGAAGACGAGCGTGTAGACAGCCAAGAAACAGAACCGGAGCCAAGGCTGAAAGTGTAACCCTGTGACGACCGCTGTGTAGCCTGGTCGTCAACCCAAGAAGCGTATGAGTGTCCAGTGAGGACAACTGAGCTCCGCCCTCCAAGCACGAGCCCCATGCCCGATGTACTGCACAAGTTGCGCAGTACCCTCTTAGCAGCATCCATGTGCACCTTTCGGTGCCGACCAGGAGCCACGAAGCGAGCCAGAAGGCCAAGAGGGTATGCAAGGTCAGGACGAGTGCAGGTCATCAGGTACATGAGGCAGCCCACTAGCTCTGGGTAAGGACCACTCGGCTCTACAGACTCGTCCGAAGCCGAAGGAGTGTGCTGTGCTGAGGACCAGGTGAAGCCGAAGCGCTGAAGGACCTGCTGCACCATGTGTGACTGAGTCAGTGTGATGGTGCGGCGTGCTCTGTCCCGGGTGATCTGCAAGCCAAGGTAGCTGCGCAGCTCACCCAGGTCTGTGCACGTGTGTCTCTTCTGCAGCTCCGACTTCACCGGGGCGAGAGCCTCAGTGTCAGCAGTGGCAAAGACCAAGTCGTCAACATACACGAGGATGTAGAACGGCGGCAGCGAAGTGTCGGTGCGCAGAAACAGCGACGGGTCAGCAGTCGAAGGAGCAAACCCAAGAGCCGCAAGTGTCGTCCTCAGTGTGTCGTGCCACTCACGTGGCGCCTGGCGGAGACCGTAGACCGGCCGCCGGAGGCTCCACTGGGCACCAGGAGGGAACGACCCTGTGAAGTCAAGAGAGTGAAGCTCGTAGTCACGCTGAGCGGCAACGTGCAGCAGCACACGAAGAGTGGTCATCTTCGGGGTGGGGGAGAAAGTCTGGAAGAAGTCAACTCCCTCCTGCTGACCGAAGCCTCGAGCAACGTAACGAGCCTTGAAGACAGGCGGAGAACCTGGCGGCCGCTTCACCCTGAAAATCCACATGCGATCGACGATGTTTGCCCCAAGAGGGTGAACCTCGTCGACGTATGTGCCTGTGGACTCCCAGGAAGCCATCACTGCGTCCATGGCTGTCTGCCACTGAGAGGAGTACTCACCCGCGATCGCCTCAGCATAAGAGCGCGGGGTCGGGATGTCTGGTGCATCCGGGTCTCCCTCAGGGGCAAGCAACATGGCCACGAGATGAGGTGCAGCGGCCGCAAGACACTCAAGGTCCTCCTGTCTGTCCTCAAGGACGTCTGTGCCAAGAGCACACTCACCCCCGACGGACGGAGGACAGACATACTCAGACTCAACAACAAGACTAGCAGCGTAGTATAGACGACAGGCAGCAGCAAAGTCAGCCAGCTCAGCGACAAAGGTAGACGCAGCAGAGAAGACGCAGGAGGAGACGGTAGAGGAACACGCTGCGGAGGAGAGGAAGGACGACGGACTACGAGGTGGGTGCCTGGGACAGCCGACTGACGCGGACGAGGAACACGACGACCGGAACGACCAGAACGGACAAGCGAGACAGGACGCGACGCAGGCTCACGACGCTCAGTAAGACCCCCTGTCTGCTCGGCGTAAGGAGAAGGAGCAGGCAGCGGTGAGCCAAGCTGTAACGGAAGACCAGTGGACGAAGGGAGACTAAGAACCTGGCGAAGCACAGAGTCAGGCGGTGGTTGAGACGACGGAGACGGTGGAGCGAAGAACAGGCGTGGCTGTGCAGTGCCACTAGCACCAGCAACTCTAGTACCCCCAGCAGCTCCAGCACCTCCAGCAGCTCCAGAATCCTCAGCGCCAGCTCCTCCAGGACCAGCTCCACCAGCAGCAGCACCCCCAGAATCAGCACCTCCAGTCCCAGGATCTCCAGCCTCAGTGTCTCCAGCAGCAGCACCCCCAGACCCAGGGTCTCCAGCAGTAGCACCCTCAGGCTCAGCAGCACCTCCAGCCCCAGCAGCTCCAGTACCTCCAGTACGAGCACCTCCGGGACCAGCACCACTCCCAGCTCCAGTGACGTCAGCAGAAGTACCTCCAGCGGCAGAGCCCCGAGCTTCAGAAGCGCGACCCTGACGGCGACCGTACTAGTCGTGCAGCTGCTGTGAGGTGAGAGGCACACGCGGACGAAGGCGGCTACTCCAAGGAGACCGCGCAGCAGCAGACTCAGAACCCGCAGGCGTCGCACCCCCAGACTCAGTACCCCCAGGCTCCTCACGCTCGGGCTAAGCACCTCCAGACACAGCACCCCCAGGCTCAGGACCTCCAGGCTCCTCACGCGCATGCTCAGCACCTCCAGACTCCGCACCCCCCAGCTCAGCACCTCCTGGGTCCTCACGCGCAGGCTCCGCACCCCCAGGCTCAGCACCCCCAAGCTCCGCACCCCCAGGCTTAGCACTCCCAAGCTCCGCACCCCCAGGCTCCCCACCCCCAGGCCCAGCACCCCCAAAGACAGCACCACCCCCAGCAGGACCTGAGTCACCAGTGACCTCAACAGGCGCAGGCACGGGAGGGTCTACATGAGAAACACCTGAAGGAGCAGGACCTCGCGCGGAGAGGGGGTCTACCTGGGGAGGACCTGGGGCGAGAAAGAGCGGCGGGGGGGGGGGGGCGAGGGGCAGTGCGGTAGGGAAAGAGACGGTAGAAGGGGATGGACTCGTCAAAGGTGACGTCCTGAGATGGAAAGACACGACGCGAGGCGGGGTCGTAAAACTGCCAGCCAGGCGCGTCAGGGACAAAGCCAAGGAAGACGCAGGGAATGGCGCGAGCGGAGAGCTTGTCCGCGGTGGTATCGCGAACAAACGCACGAGCACCCCAGACCCGGAAACGCGATGCATCGCCAACCTTCCCCGTCCACAGCAGTGTGGGCGAGGTCTCCGACAAGGAGACACGGGGCCAGAGTTTGAGCTGATGCGCGGCGTACCGGACTGCAAACGGCCACAGAAAATGGGGGGCAGCCGCATGGATCATGGAGGTACGAGCGACCTCCATGACTAAGCCAATGCGGCGCTCAGCAACCCCATTCTGCTGCGGAGAGGCCGGAAGCGTGAACGTCTGACGGATGCCGTGCTCCGCACAGAAGGCTGCCAAGAGGTCGGAGGAGAACTCACCACCTCTGTCAGAGTGCAGACGCAGGACAGGAAAGTCCGAGTGGAACCGCTCGCGGAGCTGGAGACGAACAGCGCGGATCCAGGGGATCAAAACATCAGAGACCTCCCCCTTGCGCTGCAAGGGGAAGACCGTGGTGTAACACGTGTAGTCGTCGACGACCAGCAGGAAGTACCGCTCGTGGCCCTATCCACGGACGCGGGCTGGGCCCACACGTCCAGGTGGAGAGTCTGCAGGGGAGCCTCTGTGGGAGGGAACGAGGAGGAGTGAGGAGCGGTGCGCTGCCGCCCCTCGACGCAAGGAATGCAGGGCGACGCAGGTGAGGGAGGGAGGGCAGGCAGAGACCTGGGAAGGCCAGAGACCAGGAAGCGAGAGTGCATGCTACGAAGGCGAGGCAGGGAGGGGTGACCAAGGCGGTGGTGCTACAGGAGAGTGTCGTGCGACAGGCGGCGACACTCACACTGGGTAGCTACCTGAGCAGACGCGTACAGCTGGGGAGACAAAGGGACGTAGCGCGACGTAGTGGTGAGGGTGTACAGACTGGACCCATGCGCATGTGTAAACGTGGCCTGGTGACGGCCGGTCCGGGAGCAAGTGCAGATCGCCACACGCTGTCCTCCAGGAGTAAAGGTGTCAACCCAGTGATCCTGAAGGACGGTGTTGCTCACCAAGTTCGTAGAGAACGAGGGGAGGTGGAGACCAGACAGCTCACCAGACAGGACCGCCGGACACGGAACCACAGTGGAAGACCGTGCAAGCACTGGGCCCCTAGAGGGGTCAGCCAGTGAGACAGGGACAGGTGCAGGGAGGGGAGTGACTGTGGTTCTGTCGCGAAAGAAACAGCGGGAAGCACCAGAGTCAAGTGTAAAGGTGTGCAAGGTTTGTGCGGACGTAGTACCAGGGGGAGCAGACTCACAAGCACCTAGAGCTGCAGGCGCTATACCTGGCGCTATACCGGGGTCAGGCGGCACACACAAGTAGCAGTCACCCTCAGCACTAACAGTCAATGCATACATGGCAGCAAGAATAGCATCATAGTCAAGATCGAAGATAGGTACATCACGCCTAAGCAGGTCTGCCCAGTTGGGGAACTCAGTAGCATAAGAAAACTTGACGCGCCAGGCGTCGCAAAGCCGAGCAAAGCAGCGGTACTCAGTGTGAAAGCCGGTGCACTGACGACCAGCGCGGGGACCTGCGCGAATGATATAGGGGCAGCGACCAGGACCCCCAGACGCCCCACGCCCAGCACACCAGTCATGAAGCTGCTGGGAAGTGGGGGTCTGGGGCTGACGCTGCTGCGGCTACTGCTGCTGCTGCTGCTGTCCCTGGCCACCACCGGCCTCACCCAAGCCCCCACCACCGCCGCCACCACCACTCCCCCCTCCGCCACCACCGCCGCCGCCACCGCCACTGCTCCCGGCACCACCACCGCCCCCACCACTACCCCCACCCCCACGACCACCGCCACTGCCTCCATCACCCCTGCCGCCTCCACCACTGCCCCCTCCACCGCCACGTCCGCCACCCCTGCCACCCTTGCCTCCCCTGAAGCCGGTGCGCTCCCCACTCGGAGCGGAAGCAGCTGCGACCTTCTCAGCACCAAGGAGGTCGACAGCAGCAGCTGCGGAGGCGTAGGAGGGGGTAAGAGGGGAGGGGGAGCACCCCTAAAAGAGGGGAGTGCGGGGAGTACCACGAGCAGCACCTACAGCTAGAATGTTCTTCTCGGCTGCTAAGAGGTGCTTCTCGAGGTCGTCGACAATGAGAGAATGGGGGTCAAGGGCGAGGAAGTGGTCCCTGACTGAGCGAAGGGTGTCAGGGAGGTGGGTGATGAGGAAGTAGAGAGTAAAGTACACCGAGGGGTGGTTCTCTGCGAGGAACTCGGCTGGAAGGGCGGCACGAAGGCGAGTGTCACTAGCGCGTAGGTGAGAGATGAGGTCCTCAGCGGTGGTAAACAAGGACAGGTCGGGGAACAGGTAGGGTAGCATAAGTCGGCCAAGGGCTGCAGTGGCCGGGGAAGAATAGCGGGCAACTACAGCGTCGTACAGTGCCTTGGCAGTCTTGTGCTGGCTAAAATGCGCGCGCTCTGTGATCGGCAGATGGTTGCGAATAGCTAGGCGCGCAGCAGCATCGCGGGTCTGCCACTGGGAGCGGTCTAGAGCAGGCTCAGTGTCAGCAGGAGCAACGGCAGCGCCAGACACGTAATCGAACAGGGAAACACCATCCTTGGCATCAGTCAGGAGGAACAGTTGCAGGTCGTCGAGCCAGGTAGCGAACTCTACTGGACGACCGTCAGGATCGTACGCGAGCACATTAAGCGTCGCCATAGCAGCAGTGCAGGCAAGGCAGCGGAGATGGCGCGCAGGGCAAGCAAACGCGCTTGGCAGGCAGGCGCTCAAGGCAGGCAGGTGCTCAAGGCAGGCAGGCGCTCAAGGCAGGCAGGCGCACTTGGTAGGCAGGCGCTCAAGGCAGGCAGGCGCTCAAGGCAGGCAGGCGCTCTTGGCAGGCAGTCGCTCAAGGCAGGCAGACACTTAAGGCAGGCAGGCGCTTTGGCAGGCAGGCGCTCAAGGCAGGCGCTCCAGGCAGGCTAAGACAGGCAGGCGCGCGGCTCACGGGTGGCTCATAGGCAGGGCTCGCGCGGCTGCGGACTGCGCGCGGCTGCGGGCTGCGCGCGGCTGCGGGCTGCGTGCGGCTGCGGGCTGCGCGCGGCTGCTGGTTGCGCACGGCTGCTGGCTGCGCGTGGCGACGGGCTGCGCGCGGCTGCGGGCTGCGCGGGCGGGGCCTAAGCGGGCTGCGCGCGGGCGGCTTAAGCGGCGCGCTAGTCGGCGGCAGGCTACGCGGGCGGCTGACGTGGCGCGCGGGCCTAAAACGGGCTGCGCGCGGGCTGCTTAAGCGGCGCGCGCGGGAAAAAAAAAGGGCCGCGCGCGTCCAGCCGAGGCGCGCGCGGGCAGCAGGCAAGGCAGGTGAGGTAACGTTGTAACCGGTGGGCCCTAATCTTAGGTCCTAAAGACCTATTGCTCTAGATACCATCTTAGAAACTATAGAGGAAAGGATGATGCATTAGGTCAAGGTTGGGGTACAAAACTAGAGTGTCGAGATGATTTGCGTACCCCCTAAGGCTAGCCCCAATATAGCCTAGATAAATGACAAGCATATGTTTTGACAGTCTTCAACTGTGCTTTATTGCGCGGTCCACTATTAGTAGACAGAAACCAGTTTCTGTACATTTTTTTAATAGCAACATTGGATGTTATAGTGTATGGTAGAGAAAAACCAGGTGCACAATGTGAATATAAAAATAACAGGGCTGAAAGGAGTTTATCCCAGAAAATTAGAAGTGCCAGAAATCAGGAGTTTATCACACTAGTGGGACATCAGAAGCCGTGGCGAGCAGATGTGGAGCACGGAACGGACATGAGCGCTTCACATTGGATGGGAGCATGGGCAGGTGGTGAGATCAGTCCCAGTCCCCATCGGCATCAAAGACCCCTGCATCCCTCATCTCCGAGTAGTATGCATCCTCCACCTCCGTATCCTCGTCCTATGAGGGGCGTTGAGGAGAAGGGGATGGCAAGGGGAACGAGGAAGAAACGCGTTTGCAGGCAGGTGGGTGAGTGCGGGTGGAAACAATGGGCGGTGACAGAGCCAGCAGAGTGTGGCACGCTAAGGCGAAGAAAAGATGTATTGGGAGTGGCAATTGGGGGAGGTGGGAATTGTAGTTGCGTGGGCAACAGGATGGCGTGACACGGCAGCTTGTTGACGTAAGCAGTGTAGCCGTGGCTCACATAGGTTGGCAACATGATCCACCACACCCTGTGCTGGCAACATGATCCACCACACCCTGTGCTGGCAACATGATCCACCACACCCTGTGCTGGCAACATGATCCACCACACCCTGTGCTGGCAACATGATCCACCACACCCTGTGCTGGCAACATGATCCACCACACCCTGTGCTGGCAACATGATCCACCACACCCTGTGCTGGCAACATGATCCACCACACCCTGTGCTGGCAACATGATCCACCACACCCTGTGCTGGCAACATGATCCACCACACCCTGTGCTGGCAACATGATCCACCACACCCTGTGCTGGCAACATGATCCACCACACCCTGTGCTGGCAACATGATCCACCACACCCTGTGCTGGCAACATGATCCACCACACCCTGTGCTGGCAACATGATCCACCACACCCTGTGCTGGCAACATGATCCACCACACCCTGTGCTGGCAACATGATCCACCACACCCTGTGCTGGCAACATGATCCACCACACCCTGTGCTGGCAACATGATCCACCACACCCTGTGCTGGCAACATGATCCACCACACCCTGTGCAGGCAACATGATCCACCACACCCTGTGTGCCGGCTCATTCTACAGGCCTCGGCTTATTGCCAGCCTATGCCATGTGTGCACGCATGTGTGCAGGCATGGTTGCAGGCACGGGCGTGGGCATGTGTGCAGGGATATGTGTAGGGATGGGTGCGGGCACAGCAGCAGTGGATGGAGGGAAGGAGGGGGCACCTTGAAGAAGTCGGCCAGGAAGGTGATGTAGAGCAGCGGCGGGAAGAACGCCCAGTACACACACACTGCTAGCCCTCGCATGCTGCACGGGAAAGGGGGCACAGCATCGCAGCACCCACGCATACCCATCCATTCCCATGCAAAGCCATGCATGCCAATGCGCACGCATGCCCATGCAAACCGATTGATGGTCATGAGGCGGAGTGTTTGGCGGCACTCACAGAACTATCCAAGAAACAAATGCCATGAATAGTGCATGTGTGGGGCGAGGAGAGAGTGCAAATGCACTGACCAGAGGGCGGCGGGCACGTGGAGGGCGAGGAGGAGAGAGGCCAGGGCGGAGGCAGAGTGCAGCAGCAGTAGTAGCAGCAGGTAGCGGTGGAAGGCCGGGCGCGCTGCTCACAGCGAGGTGAGGGGCCGGGAGGGTGACGAAAATTGAGGCGTGCATGTCATGAGTGCATGCCATGAGTGCATTTCATGAGTGCATGTCATGAGTGCATGCCATGAGTGCATTTCATGAGTGCATGTCATGAGTGCATGCCATGAGTGCATTTCATGAGTGCATTTCAAGAGTGCATTTCATGAGTGCATGTCATGAGTGCATGCCATGAGTGCATTTCATGAGTGCATTTCATGAGTGCATGGCATGAGTGCATGTCATGAGTGCATTTCATGAGTGCATTTCAAGAGTGCATGGCATGAGTGCATGTCATGAGTGCATGCCATGAGTGCATTTCATGAGTGCATTTCAAGAGTGCATGGCATGAGTGCATGTCATGAGTGCATGCCATGAGTGCATTTCATGAGTGCATTTCAAGAGTGCATTTCATGAGTGCATGTCATGAGTGCATGCCATGAGTGCATTTTATGAGTGCATTTCATGAGTGCATGGCATGAGTGCATGTCATGAGTGCATTTCATGAGTGCATTTCAAGAGTGCATGGCATGAGTGCATGTCATGAGTGCATGCCATGAGTGCATTTCATGAGTGCATTTCAAGAGTGCATGGCATGAGTGCATGTCATGAGTGCATGCCATGAGTGCATTTCATGAGTGCATTTCATTCAAGAGTGCATTTCATGAGTGCATGCCATGAGTGCATTTCATGATATCATTTCAAGAGTGCACGGCATGAGTGCATGCCATGCAAGGTTTGAAAATACGGTCCGCTTATTACGGTAAATGAATAATTATTTTAAAAAAAATGGATTTTTTTGTTAGAAAACTCTTGTCACCAAGAAAAAAAAAACCGGAAAACAAGGTCGGATACATTTTCAATCATGCCCACAAACGCACACATGCAAGGAGGGGTTCATCCTCTTCGTCCTGGCACCTTTCGCCTTCAATTTGGTCCCACAAATTGGCCGTTTTTTTTTTTTTTTTTTTTTTTTTCAAACAAAAAACACCTCCTGGAACCGTTTTAGACCGTTTTTTACGGCCCTTTTTTACAGTAACGTTTCTTACGGTAAAATTCCATACGGTCGTTTTTTTAAACCCTCATGCCATGAGTGCGTGCCATGAATGCATGCCATGAGTGCGTGCCTACAGAATACAACGTGCATGCCTCTTCACTTAGCCCACATCTCACCCTCGCCCACATCTCCCTGCTTCCTTCACCACTCTTGCTCTCCACGCACCTCTTCACCCACCCGCCTCGCTCTGCCCCGGCTACTGCAGCATTCTAATAAGACAGCGAATGCCACCCACCAGGGAGGGCGTCGCGCCACTGGGAGAGTGGCAGGGAGAGCAGCGCGGCGTAGACGGCGGCACGGAGGGCGTCGTGGGCGAGCCAGAAGAGCCACACGGCGGGCGGCGTGGCAACGGCAAGGGCTGGGTGGAAGAGTGGCAGCGTGTGGTGGAATACCAGCGACGCCTGCCATGGCCATGGCGCACGCAGCGGGGGGCGGGGGGGATGGAGGGGGTGGTGGTGGCAAGAGGGTGCGGTGGCAGGGCACAGAGAGGAAGAGAGGAAGAGAGGAAGAGGCGTGCAATAATGAGAAGGGAGGGAAGGAGAGAGTGGAAGGGGAGAGGCATGCAAAGGGGAGTATGGGCAGGCGGCTCTGTGCACAGTGCATGGGAGGAGGGCGTTGGGGGACGGCAATGGGAGGGCAGGCTGCAGTGGCAGAGGTACCTAGTTGGTGTCAGATTATGTATGCTATATATGTTTAGGCTATAGTGGGGTAGCCAATATGGGGTACAACCTCTTCTAGGGTTTGATATTTGTACCCAACTCATCCATAGTTCATCATTCCTGCCGATACTTCTGACATGGTTTCAGAGCAGTAGGTCCGTAGGACCGTCTTTTTTTCGGGCCCACCTACCGCTACCCCACGAATGTGCCTGTTACTGTACCTAGGATGTGCTGCGCTGCGCGCACTGTCTGCCTGCTGCCTGCTGTCTACTGTCTGAACTGTCTGCTGCTGCTTCGCGCGCAGACCTAATTCTAGCGCGCTGCCTCGTTTTTACCCCCGCGGGTCGCCCTCTCCTGCCCGAATCGCGCCTCAGCAGCCGCGTCGCGTCCCGCGCATGGCCCGCGCAGACCGCGTCGAGCCCGCGCAGCGCGCGCGCGGCCCGCAGCTGCCCCGCGCAGCCCGCCCTGAGCCCGCACGACGCGCGCGTGGCCCACACCTGCCCCACGTGGCCCGCACTGAGCCCGCGCAGTGTGCGCGCGGCCCGCCGCTGCCCCGCGCAGCCCGCCCAGAGCCCGCGCGGCGCGTCCGCGGCCCGCAGCGCGCTGCGCGCCGTCCGCGCAGCCTGCGCCGCGCTCTGCCCGCCAGTGCGCGGCCCTAGGCAGCGGCGCGCGCCACCCTACCGCCGCCACGGCCTCGCCCTGCCGCCGACATGGCCCCGCCCTGCCGCTGACACGACCCGGCCCCGCCCTGCCGCCGACACGGCCCCGCCCTGTCGCTGACTCGACCCGGCCCTACAGCAACTGCCGCGGCCCTGACCTGCCGCTGTCGTGGCCCCAGCCCGGCAGCTAACCCGGCCCTTCACTGTAGCCGCTGTTGCGGCCCCGCCGTCGCCACCGTCGTGCGCCGACCCTGCCGCCGTCCGCCGAGCACCGGCCCTGTCCGCCACTGGTGAGCACCTGCCTTGTTAGCGCGCTGCCGCGCCACCTGCCTGCCTACCTGCCTGCCTGCCGGCCTGCCTGCCTGCCGGCATGCCTGCCTCCCTGCCTGCCTGCCTGTCGCGCCTGCCCTGCACGCGCTGCTGCTGCTACTACTGCTATTGCTGCTCCTACTGACGGTGGCCAGATGCAGCTCCAGCGACGTCCGCGTGAGTCCCTCACGCCCCAGCGGCTTAGTGAGTGGTACGCTAGTTGGGGTTGTAGGGGTGGCCGCGCAGCTACTGCTGCTACTGCTGCTACTGCTGCTACTACTGCTACTGCTGCTACTGGCGGTGGCCAGATGCAGCTCCAGCGACGTCCGAGCGAGTCTCGCACGCCCCAGCAGCTTCGTGAGTGGTACGCTCAGAGTAGAGGGTCTCTCAGGACCGTTTGCTGCCCTTACGTCATTCGCCCTGGTGCTCGGACTGGTCAGGCTTGCGGGACGCTTAGTCACACACAGTCCCGCTGCTTTGCCCGTCTGAGCGACGCCTGGCGTACCGAGTTTGGCGACGAGGCTGAGCTCCCCGACTGGGTGGAGCTGCTTGGGCAGAGGGTAGATATATTTGCTCTTGACTATGATGCTATTCTCACTGCCATGTATGCATTGCCTACTAGTGCTGACCGTGCCTGTTACCTGTGCGTACCGCCTGACCCAGGTATAGAGCCTGCTGCTCTAGGTGCTGGTGAGGCTGCTGCTCTAGGTGCTAGTGCGTCTCCTGCTCTAGGTGCTGGTGAGGCTGCTGCTCCAGGTGCTGGTGAGTCTGCTCTCTCTGGTACTACGCCTGCTGCGACCTTGCACACCTTCACCCTTGACTCAGGAGCTTCCCGCTCCTTCTTTCGCGACTGCACCACACTCACGCCGCTTAGTCGGCCAGTTGCAGTCTCCCTGGCAGACCCCTCTGGGGGTCTAGTCCTTGCCCACTACTCCACGGTCTGCCGTGTCCGGCCGCCCCGTCTGGCTTGCTCTCAGGTCTCTACCTCCCCTCGTTCTCTACGAACCTGGTGAGTGGAGCTGACCTCCAGGATGGGGGGGTTGACCAGTTCACTCCTGCGACTCAGCGAGTGACTCACTGTACGTGTGCTCGGACGGGCCGACTCCAGGCCACGTTTACCCGTGAGCCTGGCTCGAGCCTGTACACCCTGACCACTGAGTCCCCTCAGGTAGCTGCGTCTGCGTCTGCGTCAGGTCAGTTGTCGGCCCCCTGCTCGTGTCGCGCCTTGTCGCATCAGACCCTCCTTTGGCACCACCGCCTTGGTCACCCCTCGGTGCAGCGCCTTTGCAGCATGCACCGCTGTGTCCTTGTCTCTGGTCTTCTCAGGGTTCTCCCTCCCCTCCCACCCTCGCCTGCTCCTCCCTGTCTTCCCTGTGTCGAGGGGCGGCAGCGCGCCGCTCCTCACTCCTCCTCGTTCCCTCCCACAGAGGCTCCCCTGGAGACTCTCCACCTGGACGTGTGGGGCCCAGCCCGCGTCCGTGGACAGGGCCACGAGCGGTACTTCCTGGTTGTCGTCGACGACTACACGCGTTACACCATGGTCTTCCCCTTGCGCACCAAGGGTGAGGTCCCTGATGTTTTGATCCCTTGGATCCGCGCTGCTCGTCTCCAGCTCCGCGAGCGGTTTAGGACGGAGTTTCCCGTTCTTCGTCTGCACTCTGACAGAGGTGGTGAGTTTTCCTCCGACCTCTTGGCAGCCTTCTGTGAGGAGCACGGCATCACCCAGTCATTCACGCTTCCGGCCTCTCCGCAGCAGAATGGGGTTGCTGAGCGCCGCATTGGCTTGGTCATGGAGGTCGCTCGTACCTCCATGGTCCATGCGGCTGCCCCCCATTTTGTGTGGCCGTTTGCGGTCCGGTACGCCGCGCATCAGCTCAACCTCTGGCCCCGTGTCTCCTTGCCGGAGACCTCGCCCACACTGCTGTGGACGCGGAAGGTTGGCGATGCGTTGCGTTTCCGGGTCTGGGGCTCTCGTGCCTTTGTCCGCGATACCACCGCGGACAAGCTCTCCGCCCGCGCTGTTTCTTGTGTCTTCCTTGGCTTTGTCCCTGACGCGCCTGGTTGGCAGTTTTACCACCCCACCTCGCGCCGTGTCTTCCCCTCTCAGGACGTCACGTTTGACGAGTCGGTTCCCTTTTACCGTCTCTTCCCCTACCGCACTGCCCCTCTCCCCCCCCCCGCCGCTCTTCCTCGCTCCAGGTGCTACCCAGGTAGACCCCCTCCCCGCTCCCGGTCCTGCTCCTTCAGGTATGTCTCAGGTAGACCCTCCTCCCTTGCCTACGCCGGTTGAGGTCACTGGTGACTCAGGTCCTGCTTGGGGTGCTGCTTCTGGGGGTGCTGGGCCTCGGGGTGCTGAGCCTGGGGGTGCTGAGCCTGGGGGTGCGGAGCCTGGGGGTGCGGAGCCTGGGGGTGCGGAGCCTGGAGGTGCTGAGCCTGAGTGTGAGGAGTCTGGGGGTGCTGAGCCTGGGGGTACTGGGTCTGGGGGTGCTGCGCCTGGGGGCACTGAGGAGTCTGGTGAGCAGTCGCTCCGCTGGTGCCTCGCCGCTGCACTCTAGTCGTCGACCCCCTCTCTCCCCATAGCAGCTGCGTGAGTGGTACGCTGGCCGTCAGGGTCGCGCTGCTGGAGCTAGGGGCCCTTACTGCGGGAGGCGCTGGCGCTGGTGACTCTACTCCTGGAGTCGTTTCTACTGGAGGTTCTGGAGCTGCTGAGGGTGCTGGCGCTGGAGGTTCTTGAGCTGCTGAGGGTGCTGCTGCTGGAGGTTCTGGAGCTGGTGCGGGTGCTGGCGCTGAGGGTTCTAAGTCTGCTGTTGTGCGGTCTCCTTGGAGTATCCGCCTTCGTCCGGGTGTGCCTCTCACCTCACAGCAGCTACACGACTAGTACGGTCGCCGTCAGGGTCGCGCTTCTGGAGCTCGGGGCTTTGCCACTGGAGGTACTTCTGCTGCTGTCACTGGAGCTGGGAGTGGTGCTGGTCCTGGAGGTGCTCGTACAGGAGGTACTGAAGCTGTTGGGGCTGGAGGTGCTGCTGAGCCGGAGGCTACTACTGCTGGCGACCCTGGAGCTGGGGGTGCTGCTGCTGGAGACACTGAGGCTGGAGACCTTGGGACTAGAGGTGCCGGTTCTGGGGGTGCTGCTGCTGGTGGAGCTGGTCCTGGAGGAGCTGGAGCTGAGGGTTCTGGAGCTGCTGGAGGTACTGGAGCTGCTGGTGCTGGTGACACTGCCCAGCCACGCCAGTTTTTTGCTCCGTCGTCTCAGCCACCGCCTGACTCTGTGCTTCGCCAGGTTCTTAGTCTACCTTCGTCTACTGGTCTTCCGTTATAGCCTGGTTCACCGCTTCCTGCTCCTTCTCCTTACACTGAGCAGTCAGGGGGTCTTACTGAGCGTCGTGAGCCTGCGTCGCGTCCTGTTTTGCCTGTCCGGTTTGTTCGTTCCGGTCGTAGTGTCCCTCGTTCGCGTCAGCCGGCTGTCCCCGCCACCCGCCCTGTCGTCCGTCGTCCTTCCTCTCCTCCGCAGCGTGTTCCCCTGCCTTCCCCTCCTGCGTCTTCTCTGCCTACCGTCCCTGAGCCTGAGTCTGACCGCACCCGTGTTGCTCACTCTACTGTCACCCGTCTGCTAGCCACTGTTGTCACTGACCCGTCGTTTGAGTCTGCTGCTGCGTCTGCCTTGGTCGCTGAGCTGGTTGACTTTGTTGCTGCCTGTCGTCTAGACTACACCGCTAGTCTTGTTGCTGAGTCTGTGTCTGTCTGTCCTTCGTCCGTCGGGGGTGAGTGTGCTCTTGGCACGGACGTCCTTGAGGACAGGCAGGAGGACCTTGAGTGTCTTGCAGCCGCTGTGCCTCATCTCGTGTCCATGCTGCTTGCCCCTGAGGGAGACCCGGATGCTCCAGACATCCCGACCCCGCGCTCTTACGCTGAGGCGATCGCGGGTGAGTTCTCCTCTCAGTGGCAGACAGCCATGGATGCAGAGATGGCATCCTGGAAGTCCACAGGCACCTACGTCGACGAGGTTCCCCCTCCCGGGGCGAACATCGTCAGTGGCATGTGGATTTTCAGGGTGAAGCGGCCGCCAGGTTCCCCGCCTATCTTCAAGGCTCGTTACGTTGCTCGAGGCTTCAGTCAGCGAGAGGGAGTTGACTTCTTCCAGACCTTCTCCCCCACCCCGAAGATGACCACTCTTCGGGTGCTGCTGCACGTTGCTGGTCAGCGTGACTACGAGCTTCACTCTCTTGACTTCAACACAACTTTCTTGCAGGGCTGCTTGCACGAGGAGATCTGGTTGCGCCTCCCGCCTGGCTTCACTGGGTCGTTCCCTCCTGGTACCCAGTAGAGTCTCCGGCGGTCGGTCTATGGTCTCCGCCAGGCGCCGCGTGAGTGGCACGACACGCTGAGGACATCACTAGCGGCTCTTGGGTTTGCTCCGTCGACTGCTGACCCGTCGCTGTTTCTTCGAACCGACACTTCGCTGCCGCCGTTCTACATCCTCGTGTACGTCGACGACTTGGTCTTTGCCACTGCTGACACTGAGGCTCTCGCCTTGGTGAAGTCGGAGCTGCAGAAGAGACACACGTGCACAGACCTGGGTGAGCTGCGCAGTAACCTTGGCTTGCAGATCACCCGGGACAGAGCACGCCGCACCATCACCCTGAGTCAGTCACACATGGTGCAGCAGGTCCTTCAGCGCTTCGGCTTCACCTGGTCCTCGGCACAGGCCACTCCTCTGGCTACAGGTCACTCGCTCTCAGCTCCACCTTCGGACGAGTCCGTAGAGCCGAGTGGTCCTTACCCAGAGCTAGTTGGCTGCCTCATGTACCTGATGACCTGCACTCATCCTGACCTCGCGTACCCTCTTGGGCTTCTGGCTCGCTACGTGGCTCCTGGTCGGCACCGAAAGGTGCACATGGATGCTGCGAAGAGGGTACTGCGTTACTTGTGCAGTACATCAGGCATGGGGCTCGTGCTTGGAGGGCGGAGTGAGGTTGTCCTCACTGGTCACTCGGACGCTTCTTGGGTTGAAGACCAGGCTACTCAGCGGTCGTCACGGGGTTACACCTTCAGCCTTGGCTCTGGTTCAGTTTCTTGGCGTTCTACACGCTCGTCTTCTGTTCTCGGCTCCAGTTGTGAGGCTGAGATCTACGCCACAGCCATGGCTGTACAGGAGTTACGCTGGCTCACCTACCTGCTGACCGACCTGGGAGAGCGGCCTCGTTCTCCTCCAGTGCTGTATGTCGACAACAAGGCCGCCATTGCCTTGTGTCAGGAGCACAGACTCGAGCACAGAACGAAGCACATCTCTCTGCGTTACTTCCTGGCTCGAGAGTTGCAGCAGCGTGGTCAGCTTCGTCTTGCCTACGTGGCCACTCGGGCCAACACTGCAGATATATTCACCAAGGCACTTCCGCCTGGTGATCATCAGCGCTTTTGTACCTTGCTGGGCCTTGTGCCCACGTTTCCTCACTTCCTGTAGACTCTGCTTGTACTGTGATATATATATGTATATACCTGCTTGCTTGTTCTGCTAGGTAGAGATTACTGTACTGCTGTTGTTGCATATATATCTCTGCATGCGAAGTGGCCTTGTGGCCCTTTGCTTGTGCTCAGAGTGTGTGGTGACGTTGTGATCCACCCTGAGCTTGCTTTGCCTTCCTTGACTGGTCTTGTGACCCCTTGCTCTCCCCCACTTTGCCTATGGGGGTGTGTCAGATTATGTATGCTATATATGTTTAGGCTGTAGTGGGGTAGCCAATATGGGGTACAACCTCTTCAAGGATTTGATATTTGTACCCAACTCTTCCATAGTTCATCATTCCTGCCTATAATTCTGACAGTTGGCCATGCGGGACATGCTGCTGCTTCCACACCTCACCTTGACTGCCACGTCAGCGCCAGCGAGGATGGCAGCGATGAGAGCGGTGCGCAGCATGGCCTCGGAGGCGGACATGCGGACGCCGTGCATGAGGAAGAGCAGCACGCCCGCCTCCAGCGCCCCCACCACCCGCCCCGCCGCCAGCCACGCCCCGCTCAGCCACGCGCTGCTGGTGGCCGGCGCAGCAGCCTCAACTGGTGAGAACAGCAGCAGCTGGGCGAGGAGAGGCAGCGAGAGGGAACGTAAGAGGGTGAGCACGGAGAACGTGGGGGTACATGGTGTTTGTGAGGAGGATGCAGGTGGGGTGATTTTTATGTGAAAAGGCAAGCGAGCACGCAGCCAATCCGGCAGCTCAGCTCATCGGGTGCCGTTCTCGGTGCAGGTGAGTGGCAGCTTGCCACACAGGTCCTTGGTTCATTGAACCTCCTGGTTCACACACTGTCTCCGCCATGACTGTGTCACTCCGCCATGACTGTGTCACTCCGCCATGACTGTGTCAACCAGCAGCTGTCTCAGTTTCCCCAGGGTTAAAAACTGACAAGATACAGTCGGATCGCATTGCTCTTGCTTCCATTGCGTTGCAGCTACAACCTCGTATCTAGTCCCTCCTCCACGTGTATCTAGTCCCTCGTCCACGTTGTATCGGACCACCACTTCACCACAACAACTCCGCTTCAGGTCTGTTGATAATACTCACTACACTTGTTGTCATGACTCACTACACTTGTGTACCCGTGCACAGTTATGTTACAGAAGCACCTCAAACAAAACCACGGCTCCGTTTCGTGCTCATGTGGTGTGCCTGGTACCTGGCGTGTACGAGCTATAGATCACCCCGAACTGGCAGCTGCAAGTGAGGCACGTGGGGCGAGGCACATGGGGCGAGGCACGTGGGGCGAAGAGGAGAGAAACGAAATGAGGAGGCCAGTCCCAGCTTGGCTGTGCAGATTTGAACTCCCTTCCATTTCAATCTCTTCCAACGATCCTAGGCAGCCATTTCGTTTACACTGAATGACACGCGCATTACTCACAGCCCTGTTCCGTATGTTGTGTGACACAAACCCAGCAACCAATGACCGCGCTGCAATGACACTCACCTCTTCTGCTCGTAGAGCTCCTTCGTTTCCTGGTGGAGGGCGGAGGGTGGAGGGCGGAGGGCGGAGGGTGGAGGAGAGAAGAAGAGGAATCAGAGTGTGAGACAGACAAAGTGCAGACGGTATGGCAGGTGAAGATGAGAGGTAGGATTAGATGTAGGATGAGAGGTGAAAGCTGGTCTGCCCAACTGATGCTAGCCCACTCATGCTTCCTCTTTGGTATAACAAGCTTCCACAACCTTTAAGTTCGGCTTTTGTGTTAGTTAAATAAGCTAGGCATTATTATTCACTTCAGAATCTTCAAAAAGCTAACACCACATGACAAATGTAATGCCCGCAACACCCGCCAAGGGAAGGCCACATCAATCTCACAGGATACCTATCGCTCATTCCTGCTGCATCTCACCACCACGTGCTGCATCTCCCCCGGCAGCGCCTCTGCCGGCTCCGCCAGTGTCTGCTGCAAGTGCAGGCTCTGAGGGCATGTGGGCATGTGCCATGGGGGAGACGAGAGGGCGGCGGGGGGTTGGCAGACACAAGGAAAAGGGGTGAGCAGTGAGATGGGAGTGGGGAGAAGGGAAGTGGAAGAATTGAAAGGCGAAGCAGATTCCCTCACATGGAAATAGAGCAGCTCACATGGAAGTAGAGCAGCTCACATGGAAATAGAGCAGCTCACATGGAAGTAGAGCAGCTCACATGGAAGTAGAGCAGCTCACATGGAAGTAGAGCAACTCAGCTAAGCGGCCATCGACAGCGGCGGCGGCCAGGAGGGTGTCCCCGGCGCCGCCCTCCTCCACTCCGCCAAAGGCGTCCGCCACCACCGCCGCCAGCTGGTGCAGCGCCTCCGCACACTCTGATGCGCGCAGGGGGGAAAGAGAGGGGCGGGATGAGAGGTAGGGTGGCGGGGCGTGCAAAGTGGATGGCGAAGGAGCGAGTGGCGGTGGCACGCATGTGGTAATGAGGGGAGAGGGGGGGGGGGGGGATGCAGCGAGGCATGCGGTGGGGCTGGGCTTGCACGGACAGAGAGAAGCGAGAGCGGGTGGGGGTGCAAAGAAGGATTGAGTACTAGTTCAACTGCACACGCTTCAACGTCCACCCAAGAGCGCACCTGCTGCTCTCAACGTCCACCCAAGAGCGCACCTGCTGCTCTCTCCTGTGCGTCCGCCACGGCTGCCAGCAGGCGCTCGTATTTGTCCCTCATCTCCCCCACCTCCTGCCATCCATGGCGCATGGGGCATGGGGCACAGAGCATGGGGCATGGGACGTGGGGCATTGGGCACGGGGCATGACACGGGGCACGGGGTATCGGGCATGGGGTATGGAGCAGTGGGGATGGGGAGTGGTGCATGGTTGCGTGGTGCATGCTTGGGTGAATGCCCCACGCACCTGCAAGCCCTGTTGAAACTCGTCCTCTATGGAGTCTGTCTGCGTCACCGCCATGCCCCTTATCCCCTCCGCCACGCTGCTGCTTCTCATTCTGCCCGTTCTGCCCGCCTGCTGCGCGCCTGCCGGCGTCCCCGAGGCCCTCTCCGCTGTGCGCGCATCGGCCGCTTTGCCCTTTGCCGCCAGCCCAGTCAGCCGCTTCCACTGCTTCATGCCGCCGCCGCCACCACATTGCTTTAGCGCGGGCGCACTGTTAGGGCGAAAAGGCCTACGCACTACGGGGGCTAGCCGCGTCTTTCCCCTCTTGTCTTGTGGTGGTGTGACTAGACCCGCGGTGCGCGCGACATTACTCTCCGCTGCCGATGGCTATTCGGGAGGTTGAGGGCGGCCTTGGAGGCGGCGGCAGCTGCATCTTGATAACCTAAGGTAACCGTATTTCGTTAATGACGTCGCTGCGAGTTCGCCAGTTCGCATTCGACTGAATCGTTCGTGAAAAAAAACGCGAGCGCAGAGGCGGGCCGTGCAGCGGCGGGGCGGCGGGCGCGCTGCCAGGCGGCCAAAGCGCGGGTGACGCGGCCAAAGCGACAACCTCAACGCGCCCATCCCTTGGCGCACCACACGAGAACACTGCAGTACGCTGCGCGTTCGACCCGACGACGGACACTACGAGGCTACGAGATGCGCGGGAGGAGGCAAGTACGTGCTGGGCTGTGCTCAGCCTGTGCGACGCCTGAAAAATCAATCTCCGCCAGCGACGACCATTACTGCAAATCAACACTACGTGAGCAAACAATTTGACGGAACTCGTAATTATAGCAAATCTCTCCCTACACACCTTTATGCTTTGGAAGAAACAAGTGAGGAATGCACCAAGAAATGGAGGAAGTAAAGGTTAGGGTCTATCTCCAAACGTTTGAGGCGAGCGATTGCGATCGATCGCCTCGATCTGACGCAGAATTTGGATCGCAAATTTGGGTTTGATGGCGACATGCGCGATTGATAACTAGCCCCACCGAGTTTCGCCTTTTCTCGCTGCTACAGAGTATGTCGTCATTTGGCGAGAGAAGTGGGCTACCGTGTAATCGTGCGGAAGGCACGAGTCACTATGTGAGGATCTAGGATCGAGCTCAGAAAAGAGAGTTTGAATTGAATGAATTGAATGATCACCTGGGTACAACACGAGGCTATATATAGGCTCGACACAAGGCCCCGTAACCAGGTGTTACGCGAAGGTTCCGCGGGCCGCGAAGCATCCCGAACAGATCCTTACCGAATTTGGTAGAAGGCAATTCGGTGGCAACCGAAAAGCCAGAATTCGGTGCACGCAACCTAGCTCTGTGCTATAACTATAATAAAATATAGGAAAGCACCTAGCCTAGGAAATCAAGCAATTCATGCATGCATATAATTATCCTATGCTAGAAATAGCATGATAAAGTAAAGGCAAGCAAGCATAGCTGGCATAAGCCGTCGTACTCTCACACGTCCCCCCCTCAAAGCTGGGTGGCGTGAGATACACCCTGCTTGACAAGATAGTCCTTGAGAGCACGGCGTGCGTTGCCCATATCAGCTTCTGCAACCCAACTGTCCTCAGTGGGGTCGTATCCCTTCCAGCGTATCAGGAACTCGAGGGTCTTGCCGCCACGGCGCCGATGAGAGAGAACGCGCTCAATCTCGTACTCGGGTTCATCCTGCACAAGAACAGGTGGAGGTGGCGGTAGCTGCCGTCCTTGGAACTGGTGGTTGGGGTCCTTGTAGGGTTTTAGTAGCTGCACATGGAAAGCGTTGTGAAGCTTCCACGTATCTGGTAAGCGCAAGCGGAATGTAACTGGTGTCACCTGTGCCTCCACGAGAAATGGACCACAGAAGCGAGGCCAGAGTTTGGATGGGAGGTGAGACAGGTTCAAGTTGCGTGTGTCAAGAAGCACCTGATCTCCGACTGTTACTGAGTGATCACGTCGCTGACGATCGGCATACTGCTTCTGGGAGGTCTGCATCGTGGTGAGTCGTCGCTGAGTCTTCTCCCATAGCTGCTGCATGGTGGTGACGAAGTCATGTGCGGCTTGGACGTGTGCCGGTGTGGTTGGCTGCTGTGGTGTGAGTGGTTCCCGTCCGTAACACAGGAAGAAAGGAGTTTTCCCTGTGGTCGCATGTGATGCGTTGTTGTAAGCGAACTCTAGGGTCGGTAACTGTGTGTCCCAGTGGCTGACGTCGTCCTTGCAAGCTGTACGCAGTAACTGTTCAACCACTTGATTGAGTCGCTCTGTCTGTCCGTCAGTCTGTGGGTGGTATGCTGAGGACATCGCAAGTTTGGTCCCCAATAATCCCATGAGCTCCTTCCAGAACTTACTCGTGAATTTGGGGTCTCTGTCTGAGATGAGTGTAGCGGGGATGCCGTGGATGGTGATGATGCGGTCGAAGAAGAGGCGAGCAGTTGCTTCAGCTGTAGCTGTGGCGTTGGTCAGTATGAAGTGACCCATTTTGGAGAACTTATCGATTACTACGAGGATGGAATCGTGTCCCCGTGAGGTCGAAGGAAGTCCTGTGATGAAGTCGAGGCTAACGACCTGCCATGGCTGCTCCGGTACGGGTAGAGGCTGAAGTAACCCTGCTTTTTTCTGCTTGCTACTCTTCATCCGCTGGCACGTGTCGCAAGAGGTGACGAACTGCTGCACGTCTGCTGCCATCCCGGGCCAGTAGTAATACTTCGCTATCCCTGCTAACGTCTTGTTGCTCCCGAAATGTCCCGCGTAAGGTACGTCGTGAAATTCCTCCAATAGGATCTGCCGTAGCGGGTCGTAATTCGGTACCCAAATCTTTCCTGAACCCTTCCTTACAGCTAAGTCTTTCTCCCACTGTAACAGCTTCTTGGTCTGTGCTGTAGCGATTTCTGCGTCCATGGAGTACCCATGTTGGAATAGACCCTTGAGCAGAGGGTTCATCCCGTCGAGCTGGATGCCTGCTACATGTCCGGGGCGGCTCAACGCGTCTGCCTTGTTGTGTAGTCCGGGCTTGTAGACGATGTCGTAGTGGAAGTGAGTTTCCAGGAAGTCCACCCACCGTACCTGTCGTCGTGAGAGCGTCGGCTGCGACTTCAGGTATTTGAGACTGCAGTGGTCAGTATAGACTGTAGTCTTGGCTCCCTCTAGGTAACACCTCAACGCCTTGAAGGCTATGACTATCGCTAAGGCTTCCTTGTCGTGAATGGGGTAGTTTAGTTCTGCTCCGTGTAGTTTCTTACTGAGGTAGGCGATACGCTGTAAACCGCGTCCGTGATCCTGCATCAGTACTGCTCCGACTGCCTGGTCACTCGCATCTGCTTCAACCACGTAGTCCTTGTCTGGGTCCGGTAGGATGAGTACTGGCGCTGTAGTCAGTGCTGTCTGTAGCTGCTCCATGGCTTGCTGATGAGGGGTATCCCATTTATAGGGCGTATCCTTTTTCAGTAGGTCGGTCAGTGGTGCTGCTATCTTAGCGTACTGTGGTACGAACCCGTTGTAGTAGTTGGCGAAGCCTAGGAACTGCTGCAACTCCTTCACGTTCTCCGGTACTTTCCACTTCTTGACGGCTTCGATCTTCCGCGGGTCCACGTGTACGCCCTCGGCACTCACCATGTGCCCGAGAAACTGCACCTTCTTCAGGGCGAAGTCGCTCTTTGACAGCTTCACGTAGAACTTATTTTTCCGCAGGATCTCGAACACCTTCCGCAGATGCTCCACGTGCTCCTTCATGTTCTTGGAGTAGATAAGAATGTCGTCCAGGTACACCACCACGCATTCGTCCAACAGGGGCCGTAAGATGTGATTCATCTCCGCCTGGAACGTTGCTGGTGCGTTGCAGAGTCCGAACGGCATCACCAAGTATTCATAGGGGCCGTATCTGGTACGGAACGCCGTCTTGTGGATCGAGTTGTCCGCCATCTTGATCTGCCAGTAACCCGACCGTAGGTCCAGCTTCGAGAAGACTGTTGCACCACGCAGTTGGTCCAGTAAGTCGTCGATGCGCGGTATGGGGTATTTATTTTTAATTGTCTGTTTGTTCAGTGCGCGGTAGTCGATGCACATCCGTAAACTGCCGTCTGGTTTTGGAGTGAAGAGAACTGGTGCACCGTAGGGAGAGGTGGATGGGCGGATCAGTTGTCTGTCCAGTAGATACTCTATCTGTTTCTTCGTGTCTGTCAGTTCTGTCGGACTCAGTCGGTATGGTGCACGTGAGACGGGTTTCGTACCTGGTTCCTCCACGATCTCGTGCTCGTGGGTGCGTGCTGGAGGTACGCATGCAGGTAGGTCGTCGGGCATTATATCCTTGTATTGCTCCAAGACCTCCGTTACTACTGCAGGGAGCTCGGAACTCGGCTTCTCCTCCTCTGCTGCTGCCATGACCAGTGCTAGGTAACCCGTGTTACTCTCGTTCACCGTCTGTTCGAACCGTGCCAGTGTCGTTTCAGGTACGTCCCCTGTATCCGTCCAGCTTCGCAGTGCTATCCGCTTCCCGTTGTTGTAGATGCACACCTTGCTGTTGACCCAATCGATCTCGGGGTTGAACCGCTTCAGAAAATCTCGCCCCAAGATAAAATCTAACCCTTTGATGTTGGTGACTGGTAGCTTTGGCTTCCACCTCAACGCACCTATATGCAGCTGCAGTGATGCTTCGCCGTGGATAGGAAGCTTCGTACCGTCCACCATGGTTGCTGAAAACTGGGTCTCTTCCACCTTCTCTCCAATTTTCTCCAATGCTCCACGGTCACACACCGAGTGAGATGCACCGCTGTCCACCAGTGCCTGGAGGCGTCGCCCATTGCATAACACCTCGAGGAGTAGTGGGTTCTGCTGCGCTGAGTAGCCAAAGAGGGTCTCGTTAATAGGATCATAGGGTACATCAAACTTAATACCTTCCCTTTTTCCTATACCTGACTCAACGCTTTCCAACTTCACCTGGGGGTAGGAGGATTTTTCCGAGGCTTGTATAATTTCTCCTGAGCCTGGATGTCTCCTCTAAGCCTTGGCAGCTGTGTAGGCTTCACCTGTGGGCAACGGGGAGCCTTAACACTGTGCTGCGGGGAGAGAATATGAACTCCTTGGAACGCACGACCCTTTTCTACGCTCCGTAGTACTTTGCCCAACTTCTCAGGTACCTGAATAATTTCTAAAGGCTTTTTCTTGGCCTCTAAACCTCCCCTGAATTTTTTAAAGGCTTGAAAACCACGAGAAGCA